AGTCAGTATGACTTGTGGGTTTTTGGCTCAAACACCTGGTAGAATGTGAAGATACAAAATATTGGAGAAGGAAATTAGGAAAAAGTATGGTTTTATGTCATTTGCTGTCCAAAAATGGCCATGCAAAGGCTCAGGGAAGAGCAGTATAGCTCCTTTCCCAGTTATCTGGTGAAGTACCAGAGGTGTAGGTAACCTCAAAGGCTATGAAGCAAGTGTCTGGTAAATATCGTCCCCCTCCCCCATGTTTTATGCTCTGCCCAGAAGGGCAAGGATGATAACTCTTTTACATATCCTCAAGCATAAGATCTTGGACACTGGGCCTTGGTACTTACAAATACTTATAGACCGATTTTCTTTTGGGCTAGCCTAACTTTATATCCCAGGTTCAATAACTGAGAGGACTAAACACTCCCAAAGCAGCCACAAATGAGGGATCTTTCCCTTCTTTCCCCAAAGCAGGCTTATTTTCTCAGGAAGGACTGCAGCTTCAGCCTGTACCCAGGAGAGAAGCTGTGTGCCTCACAAGCCTGGGGTGCACAGCCACAGCAGCAGCTCCGCTGACAGGGAGAATGATACTTTTGAGGGACTCATGCTTGGTTTATCATCCCCTACATCTCTTAATAGTATTATCTAACGCATGTGTGACCACAGGTGGTACACACAGCATGGAGGACACTAACAGAGCCAGTTAGTGTCTTCCATGGAGGACACTAACAGAGCCAGTCTGTGGGAGTTCCAAGGCAGCTGTGGACCCTGGTGGAACATCCCAGTAGGCTGTGTGTGGTGTGCTCACCTGAGGCACGGTAAGCGGGCATCAAACCCAGGACAGCCTCACCTCACCGCCACCCCAAAGCAGGATACAAAGAAAGTCAAGAGCCATCCCTAGAGGGAGTGGCTCTCAGACAGCCTGATCCCACACAGACAACATCTCTGTGGGAAATGGCTTTCTAAATCTGGCAGTGGGGTGTAAGTGTTGATGAGGTGAGGGATGAGGCCAGCCTCTCCATGCTATGATTTATAGGACTGGGCACCACAGGACCCTTAGGAAAATGCAATGCTAAAACTGTAAATGATTCATATTTTCCGGTATGTAAAACATGCTTATAGTCAACTCACTTGGAGTTAATGGCAAATAAGTGGCCAGAGATTCAGACTCCGGCATAAATTAAACAAATGCTGGCCTGTGCAGGAGGCTGAGAGCAAAGGCGAAATTCACTCAAGCCCAAAGGCCCCTACCTCTCCATGCCTCACCCTCCAGCGACTGAGCCCAGGCACAGCACCTCAGCAGCATAGGACAGTCCTTTTTGTCAAAATAGCTCTGCACGTTCAAGAAGCTATTATAAGGACCATTTACAAACTTTAAAAATGCTTTTCTATTTAGATCATCAGTAGAGAAAATAGGCATAAGAAGTTGTCTAATAACTACGGGCCACCGTTATTCTACGTCCTGGCAAGTAGTCTTGAAAAATAATGCTAGAAAGGCAGTACCACAAAAGGTGAAGGCGTATACTATCAGGAGGAGAAACACTCATCCCTGCCCCCCCAGCTGTTCATTTTGCTGGGTTGCCATTCCCAGAGCTTAGAGCAGGGGATACTGAGTGGCTAAGGAGTTGACAAATTATAGCCCATGGGCCAAATTCAACCTGGCACTTGTTTTTGTATGGCCTGTGAACTAAGAATGATTTTTACATTTTTAAATGGTCTTTTTTTTTTTTTTTTTTTGTCTTTTTTTCGTGACCGGCAACGGATCGCAACCCTCAGTGTCGCGCCCGGACCGGACCGGGACCGGCTACGGGATCGCAACTGTCGGTGTTGCCCCCGCTCCTCGCTCGGCCAGTGAGCGGCCGGTCTGTATGTGGGATCCGAACCCTTGGCGGGAGCGCCGCCACGCTTCCCAAGCGGCGCACTGTAGCAGTGCGCCACCGGGCCGGCCCCCTTAAATGGTCTTAAAAAGAATCAACAGAATGATAACATTGTATGATGTGTAAAAATGATGTAAAATTTAAATTTCAGCGTTACTGGGGCATAGCCACGGCCATTTGTTTATGGGTTGTCTGTGGGTGCTTCTGCACCACAATGGCTGACTTGAGTAGTTGTGACAGATACTATGACCTACAAAGCCTAAAATACTCATGATCTGGTCCTTTACAGGAAAAGTTTATCAACTCCAGGCTTAGAGCATCATTGCACAACTCTTGTTTATGGGTTGTCTGTGGGTGCTTCTGCACCACAATGGCTGACTTGAGTAGTTGTGACACATCCTATGACCTACAAAGCCTAAAATACTCATGATCTGGTCCTTTACAGGAAAAGTTTATCAACTCCAGGCTTAGAGCATCATTGCACAACTTAGCATAACTGGCACTATCCAAATGCTTGATATGCCCTATTGTCCCCAAATATGCCCCTCCCCAAAGGCCTTGTCAGTGTCTAAATATCCCATCATTAGTCACCTCATTTTCAGTCATTAGCACCTTAGCAAGAGGTAATTTATTATATTAGGAAACATGACTTGGAAATGAACTACAGGATCTGTTGGGGTGGGAGGCGCGAAGGAGGATGGATCAAGTCAATGGAATAGAAGGGCAGTGGAACCCCATTTGAATTGATTCACAATATTCCTGAGCATCATGAGCTAAGTCTGGGTGGGTGTGGGAGGGTTGGCCCATGCTGCATGTGAGAGCAACTCATCTAAGGTTCCCAAAACCATCATGAAGGCCCATCAATAACTGAGTAAACCTAGAAATCTCTCCCTGACCGCACCTCCAGTGATGTTGAGAGATTTTTCTGGGACTGAATGTTCAGGGGTCCACAGGGAGTGGGGCATTCTACAGGGCCCAAGGTCAAGGCATGAGGCTTCAGTTAAGCCCTTGGATACCTCTAGGGCTGACTTAACCTAAATCTGATCACTCCATCTCCTCTGTTTTCTACCCTTCCCTCATCTCTAGGTTGAGAGGGTTGACCTGAATTGGACATGAAGCATTCAAAATACCAACAGGCAAGAGCCCCCGGTCCACTCTGAACCAGTTCTGCATGTTCACGGAGGCCTAAGCTTATCTGTGGTTTGCAGACCACAAGAGCCCGGCAAAGAGCAAGAGTCACCCAGTTGTGCACGAGAGTTCTGGGTTCTCAAAGCATGTGGAAGGACATCCCAAACTACAGAGCCAGCAACTCTAGACAGTGAGTGGAAGGAAGAACCAGCACATGCAGAGTGAGGATGAGAAAGTCACATCTAACTTGGGAAGAACAGGTGGGAAAATTGGGGTGAAAGCTGGCACATCCAGGCTACATTTACTGGATATGACATTTAAGAAAATCAGTTTGAATTCTGTGATATCTTTTTAACTGCATCAGCAGAACCTTAAACAGAGCAGTGCCTTCTTCCTTCCTCAGTTACCCTTTCAACCAAAATGTTTAGTCTAGGAGGAATTAACAAATTGCTAGAACAAGAAAGGGGAGTCGCATGGGGTGGGGGAAGGGGGTGAGACACATTGCATCCAGCAGTACAAATCTCAGGGCTGCTTTTCCCGGCAGCCGGGTCATTCTGCTGTGTGCAGTAGGTCACGGGAATGACGCTGTTGAGACTTAGCTCACTGCACAACTTGATTTGGTTATTCAGAGCTGGGAGGCAGGGAGATAGAGACTGCAGTTCACCCTTGTGGCTTAAAAAAAGTGTTCAAGTGTCCTTACTGCTCAGGTTTATCCAGCAGCTTCAATTCTTCTTCTTTGGATGTCTCATAATACTTTCTTATTTTAACCAATTCATCCTCTTGGGCTCTCTGTATTGAAATAGCAAACAAAACACACAAAAAAAATGAGCATGAGAATCATCTCAGGCAGTGGGTCTCAAACGGTGGTCTCTAGACCAGCAGCATTACCATCATCTGTCACTTGTTAGAAATGCAAATTATTGGCCTCATCCCAGAAACTCCAGAGGTGGGCCCAGCAAGCCCTCCAGGTGATTGTGAAGCATGCTAAAGTTTGAGAATCACTAGCTAATGCAAAGGGTCATAAGTGCACTGAGCTGGACACAGAACCCAGGCCATGGGATTGCTACTTTTGAATGCCTTGCCTCTTCCCCTGTAAGTAGATATGGGGCAGCTTGTCCTCAGCATTTATGTCCTCACCCTCAAAACAGCCCTCCTAACTTACATAGGCTCCCAACTCTTTTATTGCTAGTCACAACTTCCCTTTTTCTAAATTTTTAAAGTACTTGTTGTCTGTAGCAGTTATTTTGGCATTTAGTCACATACTTTTCTTAATTTATCCAACTATTTTAGTTGTATGCAGCTTGCCTCTACTGTGAGCTAACAAATACCAACCATGTGCACAGTCCTGAGTCTATGGTAACAACAAAAAGCATCTGGAAGGTACTTTGCTTTAACATCAGTTACTATATCCTCATTTCATAGATGATTCTGCTGAGGCTTGCACTAAGTAACTGGTAAAGGCTTCTGACTTCATGCTGCCCTTCAGGTACTCAGCAAATGCCTGATTAGCTCCCTACAGCCTGCTGTTTGTGTGCCTTTAGTTTATTAATCAAAGCTTTACTGATGGAAACATGTGACAAGTTCCACCTGGTTGTACTAAATAGCTCCTGATATATGAAGGATGAGAAAATGAGTAGAGAATTGGTGGTGCTACCAGGCATAGAATATTAGACTATGGAAATTTTCTATAACAGACAAAGTCTCAGGGGACGCTAATATTGAAATGAATCATCTTTTGAGCTGGGGCGACCACAGCATGCCATACAGCACCAAGCAGCTTCTTGGGAAATACCATTACTTAAGAGAACCTGTGGTTCAATCTATGCTTTTGCATCCTAACAGTCAGTGAACCAGAACAGTTAACAATTGTGGAATTCTGACTTTCCTGTGTCATGTTCACAAGAGAGCCTGCCTATTCCCCTGGTTATTTCCAGTTATAACCCAAATAATCCTAACAGTCAGTGAACCAGAACAGTTAACAATTGTGGAATTCTGACTTTCCTGTGTCATCTTCACAAGAGAGCCTGCCTATTCCCCTGGTTATTTCCAGTTATAACCCAAATCGAAAGACCTTATACGCGAATAGTGCTGTTTACTTTCAAAATACATTGCTATTGCTACATATATTAAATTCTCATTTAATATAAAAATCAGGTAGAATCCACTATAATCCCCATTGTATTGATGATCAAACAGGATTAAAGAGTTGAAGTAATTGACCCAAGGTCATTCAGCAGGCACTGGTAGAGCTGGACCTCAAATCTAAGACTGAGTGTAAATCTAAAACGCACACCCACCATCTTATACTGCTTCCCACATTCAATGCCGTCAACTCATTTGGACTAAGAGTAATAATCATCCAGGCTGGTGTTAGCATTTCCATTCCTCGGAGGAAGACACTGGTATACGCCAACATTGAACGGGCAGTTTATATTCATTAACTTTACCAGCAAGCAACAGGGCTGGGTTCAGGGCACATACATGATCTCCACCTTGAACTTCTCTGTCTTGCAGATAGATGTGCCATGAGATCTCCCAACCCAGACACCCCAGTGGGAGTTAACCTAGTGCTTCTCTAATGCCTACTCCCATTCAAGCTTGTGTTTCTGTGCCTTATTCTATTCCATGCTGTGTCAAAACCCTTACTACCAAAGGACATCAAAGGCTCAGTGATGTTTTGAGTAGAAGGGGAATATGAAAAACCCAGCTTTGTGCATTTTTGACACTCACATTTTCATATAAGGCTGCCAGGGTCTCCAGATCAACCACAGAGTCATCCACGTTGAAAATAGCTGCCAAGCACCCAAAAAGAAAAGGATAAGGGATTTGATTAGATCCCCCACACCAACATTTATTCCAAGTCCAGCTTCCAAGTAATGTAATATCGCACTTTCTTACACAAGATGTGACTTTCAGGTTGTTTCTGCTCCCCTCCTTTCTCACTAGGGGGCTCGAATGAAAGAAACCAAAATGGGGCCTACCACTGGCTTGCACCCTGGCCCTGCCTTGTGTAATTCCCCAGNCAGCCTGCTGTTTGTGTGCCTTTAGTTTATTAATCAAAGCTTTACTGATGGAAACATGTGACAAGTTCCACCTGGTTGTACTAAATAGCTCCTGATATATGAAGGATGAGAAAATGAGTAGAGAATTGGTGGTGCTACCAGGCATAGAATATTAGACTATGGAAATTTTCTATAACAGACAAAGTCTCAGGGGACGCTAATATTGAAATGAATCATCTTTTGAGCTGGGGCGACCACAGCATGCCATACAGCACCAAGCAGCTTCTTGGGAAATACCATTACTTAAGAGAACCTGTGGTTCAATCTATGCTTTTGCATCCTAACAGTCAGTGAACCAGAACAGTTAACAATTGTGGAATTCTGACTTTCCTGTGTCATCTTCACAAGAGAGCCTGCCTATTCCCCTGGTTATTTCCAGTTATAACCCAAATCGAAAGACCTTATACGCGAATAGTGCTGTTTACTTTCAAAATACATTGCTATTGCTACATATATTAAATTCTCATTTAATATAAAAATCAGGTAGAATCCACTATAATCCCCATTGTATTGATGATCAAACAGGATTAAAGAGTTGAAGTAATTGACCCAAGGTCATTCAGCAGGCACTGGTAGAGCTGGACCTCAAATCTAAGACTGAGTGTAAATCTAAAACGCACACCCACCATCTTATACTGCTTCCCACATTCAATGCCGTCAACTCATTTGGACTAAGAGTAATAATCATCCAGGCTGGTGTTAGCATTTCCATTCCTCGGAGGAAGACACTGGTATACGCCAACATTGAACGGGCAGTTTATATTCATTAACTTTACCAGCAAGCAACAGGGCTGGGTTCAGGGCACATACATGATCTCCACCTTGAACTTCTCTGTCTTGCAGATGTGCCATGAGATCTCCCAACCCAGACACCCCAGTGGGAGTTAACCTAGTGCTTCTCTCATGCCTACTCCCATTCAAGCTTGTGTTTCTGTGCCTTATTCTATTCCATGCTGTGTCAAAACCCTTACTACCAAAGGACATCAAAGGCTCAGTGATGTTTTGAGTAGAAGGGGAATATGAAAAACCCAGCTTTGTGCATTTTTGACACTCACATTTTCATATAAGGCTGCCAGGGTCTCCAGATCAACCACAGAGTCATCCACGTTGAAAATGGCTGCCAAGCACCCAAAAAGAAAAGGATAAGGGATTTGATTAGATCCCCCACACCAACATTTATTCCAAGTCCAGCTTCCAAGTAATGTAATATCGCACTTTCTTACACAAGATGTGACTTTCAGGTTGTTTCTGCTCCCCTCCTTTCTCACTAGGGGGCTCGAATGAAAGAAACCAAAATGGGGCCTACCACTGGCTTGCACCCTGGCCCTGCCTTGTGTAATTCCCCAGGTTCTGTGTCCTTTCTGCAGTTTAATTTAGGCTCCACAGGAGAAGTGTTTGTGCTTTAAAACTAAATCAGTTTGTAGGTTTGAAGCACAATTTTAAATCTTTCTTCCAGGCTGGTAATTGAAGAGATTTAGTACCTAATGCACCAGAACTGACTCTTGCCCATTACCAGAAAGAGAGAGAGAAAAAAAGAGAAAAGACAGTGTTGGCAAATTAAATGAATTCAGGCATGTGATTTCAAGCACCTTTCCATAGCCACTGCAAACATCTTGTTTGGATTAAAAAGACAAGAAAAAGCAATAATTGCATCAATGGCAAATTAAGATTATGAAAACCTCCCATGAGCCAGTTTTAAGGCAAGTTCTCATTCCCATGGTTTTATTAGAATTCTACTTGTTCTGTATCTTAAATAAGACATCTGGCTGTTAATTAATATGCTTATGATTTCATCTAGAAAGGTCCCGTCCCATATTTACTGGGATATAAACACTGAGATTTTAAAACCTTAATGGATTTGGCTATCAAAGTGTTTGAAATAGGCAGGTCCACATCTTTAAATAATTATTCAAAACTAATAAGGTTTGTTCCCGCAACCTTACCTCCCTTCCCTGACTTTACATTGTGAAATTAACCAGCATGCTAGTAAATTTTCTCTGTGTCAGGCTAATTAATTTTATTAAACCAACCAGTGATACTTAGAATGCCTTAAAATTTTGCCCGTCAACCATTATTCTGTTCATTCGCATTACACCATGGTTTTTGGAGAAGGTGGGACCAAGATAAAGGGCGGGTTGCCTTTGAATTGTTTGGCTTCTTCTATAGCATAGAATCATATGAACCCTTTGATACAATTTTAACAATTTTAATTAAAAGAGCTAAGATCATGTAACTTCACAGAACACCAAGGAGCGTACTTAAAATTCTTTCGCAGGCTACCTTCTCTACCTTAGGAGTTAATCAGCAAGCTATTCCTAGATATGCGTAATAGAATCTTCTGATCCGTAGTCAGACGCGTTATCCATTGCGCCACTGGCCCCATAGATATGCGTAATAGAGAGAAAAGAAGAGGTCAATGTGCTAGTGACAAAGTCAGTCGTCTCAGATTCCACCAAAACAAAGGAACATTTTCATAAAGGCCAAACTGAAACCACGAAAACAAAATGTAGTCTGAGGAAATAAAAGAATTTACCCTCCCAGGGCTGTTAATTTTGTATGTGAAAATGAATTTTCTAATTTATCAGATAGACCATATATTTTTAAATGTCTGGTGCTTTAAAAGACAAAAACAAGATAGCCAAGAACAATATCTACATTACGTAAATCTCAGTATTTTCCTACAAAAATCAGCCAACATGAATGCATAAGAAAAGGTAAAATTCTAAACATAATTTATCAGAAATGTCTGCTCCTAATCTAATCACATATCCTAGGTACTATATATAAATTACAACTTTAGATATAATCAAGTAATCTTAATGAGAAAGAGTGATCTGTGAGTTTCTTTTCCTAGTGAGTAAATACTTGGTTTTTAAAAGTTAATCAGTTTGGGTCCAGATACAGGGTTTGACAGGTTAGACTGTCGGCCAATTCTCCTCCAGTGTGCTAGGTAGCAGAAAGAAAACACCTACAGAGAATGGGACCAGAGAACAAGCATGGGGCTCTGGGGACATTTATTTATCCTTTACCCTTCCAGCCCTAGAATAAATATTTGCTGAATGCACACTAAATTCCAGAAACTGTTCTAAAATGCTTTGGATATACAGTCATGCATCACTTAACAACAGGGATATATTCTCAGAAACGCATCATTAGATGATTTTGTTATTGTGCAAACTTACACAAACCTAGATGGTATAGCCTACTACATACCCACAATATGGACAGCCATTATAATCTTATGGGACCACTGTTGTATGTGTGGTCCATTGTTGACCAAAACATCATTATGCTGTACATGACTGTCTAAGTCAGAAGTGTATAAGCCATTCAAAGTGTCTGATCTCACGCAACTTATACCCTAGATTGGGGGACAGAAAATGGACAAGTAAATACTTAATTTCAAATAATGATATACTATGAAGAAAGTAAAATAGAGAAATGCACATTAGATAGGATGATCAAGGAAGGAGTCTTTAAGGAGGTGACATTTAAGTTAAGACCTTTTGAGTTCAGTTTTGTGACTTTCTGGGAGAAGGACATTCTAGGGAGAGATAACTACAAAAGCAAGTTTCTTTTTCTGATGAAGGAACATGTGCAAGGTACAGAAAAAAGTCAAGACGACTATCATAGAGAGAGCAAAACGTACTCAGTATGTGATCTTGACATGTTAAATTGAGCTTCGGCATATCTGTAAAATGGATTTCATACTACTTACTGAAAATATTCCGTGAAGTAATATGTATGCTTGGCATAGCATATAGAACATGGTACGAACTCAAAATGATACCTACGAACTATGACTATCATGATTTTAAATATACACATTGCTAATGTGTTCTAATGCTGGTTAATGCCTTATATCCTTTAATATCTGGAAAGAACTAGAGAAAGAAAACTATAACTACTGAGTAATTTGTGCTATAAATGCAACTTTCTAGAATTCTTGGGTATTTCAGATAGCAGTTGCTATAAAATCCTTTTAGTCCTTTAAAATTCTACTCAAGGCCCGACTTCAGGAAGCAATATTAATAGGAAAGATACATGAACAAATAATTCTTTTTTTTTTTTTTTTTTTTTTTTTTGAGACTAGCCACACTGCGCTCAGCCAGTGAGTGCTGTGAGCGCACCGGTCATCCCTATATAGGATCCGAACCCGTGGCAGGAGCACTGCCGCGCTCCCAGCGCCGCACCCTCCCAAGTGCGCCACTGGCTCGGCCCCATGAACAAATAATTCTAATTATAAAGGATAATGTATCAAATGTCTTAAGGAAAATATAAGATACCTCTGGGTCCATTGAGAAAGTTAATCTAATGTTTATCTCTAATTTCAGTGTTTCCAACCGATCCATCCTTCATTGTACCACCCAAGTTATTTTTTCAAAACATGGGTCTCAAAATTTTACTTTAATGTTTAAAATAACTCAGATGTCTCTCCTTTAAATACTGGGTATAGTTCAAACTCCTTGGCCTGGTTTTCATGCCCATTCCTTGCCTGGCCCTGAGCTACACGTCCAGTCTCATATCCTCCCACTGCCTCTGCACCTCGGGCTCCAGCCACACTGTGAAGCTCCCCATTCCTGAACATACCCAGGCTTCCTCCTGTCCCACGTCTCATCCTCCAAGGCCCAGAGGACAAAGGTTTCCTGCCCTGGAAAGACCCCCTTGACCTTTGGATCATTAAGTCCTGGATCTTTTCCTCTGCCATAGCACCTTGCTCATGTTTTACATGGAGTGAAGACAGTATACTTTAAGAATCTGTATTATGATCTGTTGCATAACAGTTTCCCTCCCCCACCCGATCGTGAGAGCACTGTAGTCAGGCATCGTCTGTTATGCATCTTGATAACTCTAGCTTCCAGCATAGTACCTGGGGTGTAATAGGTATTAAATAAATGTTTGTGGATGTGATATATGCCACAGGTCTCCCAAAGAGTGGATTCCTTGTGCTAGATGTGAGGAAAAGGTTCTTGACAAAGAGGACATGGGGTCTTGAAAAAGAGGACATAGAGATTTTAAAGAGGGATAAGATTTTGACTGATCAAAATATTATATTATTGGGGGATAGAGGGTGTTGAATTAAGGTTTGAACCTTCCCAATCTGTCCCAGTGCAACAATCAAGGTTTAGTCAGAGTTACATAATTGTGCCCCCACCTCATACACTCAGTGTAGATACACTGCTTGCTAAATATCCTATAACAAAAATAATTTTCTAACAAATAAATTTTCCATTATTAAGGAATGAATAAGGAAAACATCTTTCCTGACATTCATACCTTCAAAAAAGTTTTAAATAGCAAAATATTTCTTCAGGCAGATGCCTAAAACACCCATTTATTAATCACCATTAATTAAGCCAAACTCATTCCAAGCAATGACAATTTATAAATTTACAGTAAGTGCCAATGAACACAAATTGAAAGGATGTGAGACGTTCCAACTGAAAGAAGCAAATGCAGACAGGCTCATGCAATGTTCAGGCAATGGCAGGTAGTTCAATTTCGGCTTGAAGAGAGAATTAATTAAAGGGACTAGGGAGATAGGTTTCAAATGTAGTTTGGGGCAAGACCTTGTAGAATTTGGAATGTCACGATGAAGAGCCTGTTATGCACCTGATATACAGTAAGGAGTCGCTGTCGCTGAGCAGTTATGAGTAGGGGAGAAAACTAAACTGAGGTGTATTACAGAGGACAGGTCAGAGTTTGGGAAGACCAGTTTAGAACCTACTGCAGTGGGGAAGAGATAGCAAAAACCTGAATAGTGTGGATAGAAAGGATAGGGCAGAGGAGGAAAACATCCTAGAGAACTACATAGTGACATCACTAATTAGCTCTGGACTGAGGAAACTAGGGTGTAAAACCACTCTGAAGCTAAAGGGTAGATTTAGGGAAAGAGCTTTGTTCACCCCCATAGAAATAGGCAGAGGGGCGTATGAGCTGGACACAACCACTACCTTTCCCCAAGGCCTGGGGGAGGACTGCAGTAGAGCAAAAAGGCTGGTGAAGAAAGACATAAGTAAAGATTAATTTAGGACAAATAACAAGTACTTCACTGAGGATCCTCCTCTTCCATACAAGAATCTTAAAATAAAATTACAAAAGTAAAATTTAGAGATG